AAAGAATAATGTGAGCCCTATGATAAAAGAGGTACATGTGAGACCTATAAAAAATAAATTATTAATATTAAAATTATTGTTAAAAATAAATAAAATATTTTATCTATTTTTATCTTAATTAATAATATCTCTCCTCTATTTTTTTAAACTTATATGAATATTTTTTTAGTATGGATAGTTATAAAATATAAGCATTCTTTTATTTTTAAAATTTTATTTTCATTCATCTAACAATTAGTTGACTATTAAGTCATGTATGTTGGACTAAAATACCTCTATTTAAATATAAATATTGTCTAAAAATTATTTAAATGACCAAAATATAATTTTTTTATTATTTGAATGTTTATTATTTAAATGTATTTATGTTGTAACTTTTTAAAAAACTTAGATATATAAATTGGCTAAAAAATATATTTAAAGACGCAATTTATGGACTTAATAAAAAAATAAAATAAAATAATTTTTAATAATTCGGAGTAGTTAAACCAACTTAAAAAAATTTAAAAACTAGATGTGTTAAGAGTCAAACTTGACAATAAATTTTTTATTTTAAACTTAGTATGAATTGAGGCTCTAATAATAATAGAAGGAATGTAAGATTTTAATAAACTTAATTTTTAAAAAATTAGGGTAGTGTGGTTTACAAAAGTGGTGTATGAGATCTACCATTAAGAAATGTGGTGGGATCTACTTTTATAAATTTTAAAAATTTAAATAAGGTGTAAAAAATAGTAAGATTTTTATATTTTGAAAAATCATATAAGATTTAAAGTAAAAATTAATGATGAATATAATATTCTTACTAAAATGATAGGTGTTAGATATACAAAAAAATTTCTATATATTAATTAATATGGAATTTCTGCAAGTATAACTCATATTATATTATCAAACTAAACAAATAGCCCAATATTTATTATATTTTACATTATGACTAATTTATTATATTTGTCAATCACATACCATTATATATAAATGATAAATCCTTTATAAATTTTAAGTTTAAATGATAAACTTATTATATATCAATGATAAATATTTTGTATATCAATATTAACAAGCCATACTCATAAATTTTTAAAAATTTGATCCATATTTTCCGGATGTAAGAGTTTTGGCCATACTCCCAAAACTTGTGGCAACCTCTTGTATAAGATATAAAAATATATTATTCTATTATTTATATGAAAAAGTTGATTATAATTTGAACATTTATAAAAAATATTGATGTAGTTATGTGTTTCAAGTCTGAGCAAATAAAATTATAAGCTACAAGTTAATTATACGATGTTAATGAATTTATCTTCCACTCTACACATAATCTTTTCTTAATAATTATTTTGTTGCTTGTAATGCTTGCATATATGATTGATGAATGGTCTTATAACATGAATTATATTATTTGCTTGAGTTATAACTATTATAATTATAATTTATAAGTAATATTATGACATAAACTGTAGTACGATTCATTATACTATATATTTTATTTTCTTTAAAGTGATAAATAGGGCAACACATTTTGAAAAATAATAAGGTATATTATATTTCAAATTGTAAGAAGTAAGAAATTTTAAAAAACAATGCTATATATATATATATATATATAAGTAGCATATTGCAAAATAAAAGCTATTCTTTATAGGTATCATCTCATTACAATTCTAATCTCATATTTGCCGACTGTAGAAATACCTTAAGAAATAAAAAGAAATTAAGTCATGTATATTAGACTAAAATACCCTTATTTAAATATAAATGTCGTCTAAAAATTATTTAAATAGCCATAAAATAATTTTTTATTATTTAAATATATTCTCTTTGTTTTGTTAAAATCATAAAGACTTCTTATTTATTTTTAAAACTTACAATTTAGTCTCATTTTATATTTATTTTAGAGTGAAACACCCAATTAAATAGTAAATATAAAAAAATAATATTATTTTGAAGACAAATATCTACTTTACTTGGAGATGATATTTGGTTAAAAATATCTTATATTTTTAAAAAATATGGAATATGTATATAATTTTTTAAAAAATACTAAATAAATTAGTTTGTATGACTAATAAATTTAAAGTATAAATAAAAATTTAATAGAATATATCAAGAATGATATTTTAGTCCAACATAAGTGACTCAATTGTCAATTAATAATTGAATGGGTGAAAATAAAAATTTAAAAGTAGAAGACATTTGTATTTTGTAACTTTTAACTATTAATTTTAAGAGGGATTTGTTTATATTTTAAATATAAAAAATCCTTATAATTAAGTTAAAATAAAGGAAAACGTAATATATTTTATTTTAAAGATATTAAAATAATTTTTTAACAAGGTTAATATATAATTTAAACCCTAAACTATTTGTACAGGGGTGATTTGAATCTTAAAATTTTAAAAAACATATTTTAAACTTTAAATAATTAAAATTGAGGCAATTTTATTCTCAACGTTAAATTTAAACAAACGTTCTTCAATTTTTTAAAATTGAGATCTAATATACAAAAAATAATTACAACATTTTAAAATTTCATGATTTTTAATAAAGATGTTAGTTTTTTTTTGACCAACAATTAAGGATTTTAGTTGAATAAATCAAGGAACAATAGCGATCAAGGACAGCTAAAAAAAATATAGCAATCAAGAGTTAGCTTGAATAAATTATTATTAATTTAAAATAAATTATTATTAAAATTTAAATAAATATTATTAATAAAAAACTAACTTAAATTAAAAAATATTCATTCAAATTTTTACAATAAGTAATTTTACGGATATAAATTTTTTTGATATTTTCCCATGAATCAAAGTATCAGACTACGTTTTTTGGTTTTTGTTGGTCAGAGAATCTAACTGCTCTCGTTCACTTGCACAAACAGTCAATCTTGAAAAATTAAATTGAAAATGCTGAAAGTTCAGCTGGGATAGTTTTTATTTCACAATTTTTTGTTTATATTTATTCTTTGTTTTAAAAAAAATACTTAAAGATAAGTAAAATATAAAAGAGAGAATTACAGTTAGATTACAAAATATTTTATTTTAATTTCAAATAAAAATTTTGATGTAGAGTACAAATGTTAATTTAAAATGTTATAAACAGGAATCTTTGTTATAATTTGAGATTTACATTTAAAATTTCTAAATTTATAATTATCATCATCAATATCTGTAAATTATGCTCTAAAAAATTATTAAAATTTTAATTGTCATTAATTTAATCTTTTGATACTTAGGATGAACATGTAGAAACTAAAAATTATTTTCAGATAAAAAAGGAAACTAAAAATTATTTCATTAAAAACCTTTTTTGAGCTTTAAGAATTTTTTTTTTTCAGGATTAGTTTAAAGGATTCATTTATCGCATTTTAAATTCCAATTTTAACATCTGCAATTCCAATTTCCAACAAGTGGCAATATATACAGACGAAGACAAAATTGCAGACAAAAATGGTTGAAATACGTGCCACCCAGAAACTGCTGCCACCCCATCGATTCCCCATTTATCCATAGAATCTCCACTCTGCTGGTTTTCGTATTAGTTTTTGCTGCCAGAATCTCATCCATAGAGTCGTCCCCATCTCCCACTGATCTCCATCCCCGCTTTTAAAACAGAGCATCCTCTGTCTGGTTTGAATCCTGTGGCTCTTGCAGCGTGATAGTGTGATTCTGATAGGCGAAAAAGATGTTGGAAGGGAAAGCCACAGTGAAAGAAGCTGACATGCCTCTCAAGATGCAAATCCAAGCCATGTCCTCTGCTTCTCATGCTCTTGATCTCTTTGATGTTTCTGATTGCATCTCCATCGCCGGTCACATAAGAAGGTAACAAACTAATAGTACAAAACATTCAAACTTTGCTTCTGGGGTTCCATTTTTGACTTCTTTCCTTTGAATTGATTCATGGGTTGTTTGGTTGGTATGGGATGTTTCAGGCTTTTGATAATATGTATGGAAGTGGATGGCAATGTGTGGTGGGTTCCAATTTCGGGTGTTTTTTCAGCCACTCACCTGGAACTTTCATCTTCTTCTCTCTTGAGACCCTTAATTTTCTGATCTTCAAAGGATCCTCTTACTGATCCCAACAAACAAAACAAGACTTTGATCATCTATCAGATAGAAGCCAAGGTGTTTGATTCACTTGAAATGAGAGCAGAGTATATACGAGTATGCATCTTGTAAAGAGATATAAAACTTGTGTTGTAGTACAAATGGGACTGAAAGTTGAACCGTCTCCATCATCTTCATCAAGCAGAGCTCACTTTCCAGATTCCACTAAATCCTCTGCCTCAAGTGTATTAGCCAAAATAGTAGTGTATTACGTCAGCATGAATCAGAGAGTTTGTAATTAACTTGGCACTAACATAAGTGTGTGTCTACTGTTTACGAACTTTAATTCCATCTCTAGAAGTTCTCGCTCATCCATATATTTATTTGCAGCGTCTTGGCAATACCAATAAATGCAGACACATAACACGCTGTCTTTGTTGTGCTGTCCAAATCAGTTTCTAATATGTCAAGAAGATTTGGTTCATTACGGAGAGCTTCAATTTCGGACATCCTTGCAGAATATATTACAGGACATAAAAAAGAGCATAGATTACTGAGTGTAGCACAAAACATGTCTCTATTCGTCGAATCCCATCTATATGGTTCAGGGTTTATCTAATTTATCAGTTAATTTATGTCATGAAATCGAGTAGTCTTAATAATTAGCATAAAATTTTGATTTATGCATATAATATTGTTAGTTAATAGTCAATCCTTTTGATTATGTGTTGGACATTTCTAAACTGAGACCATAGATATAATAACACACATGCATTCATTATACTTTTAGCACTGCCGCTAAACCTTTCTTTTGTTTTTTTTTTTTTTTTTGGAGCAAAAATACTGCCACTTAACTTTAGAATATAGCAATTTGAGAAGGGTGCAAGAAATATACTTGATTCATTGAAGTTTTACCATATGACTAGAACTAAGTCGTCTCTATTTAAAATTCCAATGGCTGTTTAATGTGTAATCCACATGTACAATCTACCTAATTCTTTTCATAGCAGAGTAACACTCTGAATGGGCTATTCTTTTTCTTTTTCTTTTTTCCTGTTTTGTCATTTAAATCTCTAATCAACCCCCCTATTTTGGCCGAAAAGAAACCCTAAATTCATGGTAAGATATGAAAATTTTTGCACGCCTAGTGTTTGTACTTGCAACAGCTACAATTGAATTCACGCATAAGTCCCTTCTGCGCAAATTCAATCTAAACTCTTTGCTTGCACAAACATTGCATGATATGCAATAATTATTTTAGTTGCTGACTCTTGGAAACTGCATATTCATACGTTTCATAACATATAATCATAAATCCAGAATAAGCTCCTCAATCAACCCACATAAAACTAGGCTCTCTACTTCGCTGACAACTTGCTCAGATTCATCTGCAGAAAATCCATGCTTCCAACCGTAGTCCCATATTCCATTGATCAGCCCATTGCACTTTATATCTCTTTGCATCATTGCAGAATGATCATCTGTAGAGAATTTCTCCCCAGAGATCATGGTGTAAAACTTCAGCTTCTCAATGGAATTATAGATTTCTTCAACCAACCTGCCTAAAGAGATCTGTAATCTTACGTTCCCTGCCCGAGTTAGCAAGAATGGATGAACCATTTGTGAATCTTGCAGGCTTTTACGCTCAGTGAGTTCATTTGCACAATCCAAATAGAGTTTGGGATAGGCTATCCCATTTGTTTCATATTTTTGCAGGGTCATGGGACAATCAACATCAAGATTGAGGAGCTCCTCTGCATGGCCTATAAATAATTGATTGGTTAAAAGAAAATATTTCAGCTCAGCCCCCTCTTTGTCAGCCTTGCCATCCACCTCCCCACCGTTGTTCCCATCATAAGCTTCTTCAGCAGAAGTAGAATCAATTCCTTGTTCAAGCTTGAGCAGCATAACATCATTACCTGAGGACTTCGGTCTCTGATAACAATCTTCTGCATGATAGTGAAAAGGGAGGGAAAATTCATATAAACATTTATAAAAGGATATATGAAGTGCTAGAAATTCTAGTCATGTAATCAAGGGGTCCCAGGTCATTGTTGGTCTGCTGATAACATCAGCATATAGCTATTTGAATAGTGCTCAATGTCACCATGTAATGTTCACATAAAATTACTTGTACTAGCTCAATTTGCATTGCACCTATATGCATAGAATGAGTATTTGCCAAACATCTACTCAGCTCTGATAACAGTCTAAGGTTAAACATGTGTCTGCCAACGTCAATGTATTTTTCAGAGACATGTGCTTTAGAATGTGTTCCAACCATCCAACAGCGTGTTTACTGTTGATTCTTTCAAGACATTAAAAGCCCTAGAAACTTCTCTTTTGATGATTAACGATAATGAATTAGCAGCTAAAGACACTCTGGCAGGTGAATTATTGATGAATTTCAACCAAAACTAAGGACCTATTTTAAAAATTGTTTCGTAAATTAACGAGGGAATACATTCTCAAATCAATACAAGCATTATTTTCATTAAACATGACAATGAGTAGAGATGCAAAACTAACCATCTATCTTATTCAAAGAGGCATCTACTTCATGTTTCACCAGAAATTCAACTGCGTGTTCCGCTATAGTTCTAATCTCAGTGCAATCATCTTCACAAGGAACAGCAATACTCTTCTCTTCTTCAGGTCCTGATTGTTCATCCTGTACAGAAGAATACTGAATCAAAAATCAAATTTAAAGGCTTGCTTCACTCATTTATCAATCATTAATAACGTTACAAAAATCTGCTTTCTATATGATACTTTAAAGACTTCTACGGCACCCAAGTGAGGAAAAAAGACAGTAAAGTAGGCTTACAACTGGTTTAGCTTCTTCAGGCTCTGGAATAGGCTTCTTGCTATTATTCTGATTCTTTCTCTGCTTGAAATTAAGATGCTTTAGTGTTTTTGTTTTTGGGCTGATGATCAAAGCTGTACTCTGCTGGCAGGAAGTCTCATTCTTGACTCTGGTCAATTCGCTAGGTGGTGTCCTCAACTTTGTGGAGGTAATTTCACTTCGATCTTGGGACCTTGTCAAAAGTTTAGGTTTTGAAATCTCCTTTTCTGGTAGCTTTCTGGTAACAGTTTTCACCTCAGCTTTCTTCTCATTTGCCTCCTGTACCTGCAGTTTATGACTTGCATTGCTATATGATTTCACCATATTTGGAGACTTTTCAACGGGCATGATTACTTTCTCATCCAGTTTCACGAACTCTTTGAGAATTTTAGGCTTTTCCTCATGTGTAAGCCCTTTGGTCACATGATCTGCTCTGTTCCCCATGCTGGTGGACCCTTTTTGTTTGAATGATTTGGAAGGGACTACCTCTGCTTTTGGTTTGGCAAGGGATAGGCCTTCTGGATCTGGAGGAGCATGGGATTTAACTGATTCCCGGTGTAAACTACGTCCAGGTTTCATGAGTACAATGGGTGGTAAACTATCACACTGTTTGGGACGGTAATCATTGGAATGATGAATCAAAAGATTAGGCTCTAAAACAGAACTCTTCTTCAAGAGTCCTTTAAAATGAATCCTCTCAAGAATTTCACTCAAGGTCTTCTTTCGTTCTGGATCAACCTTCTCAATTATAGAACTAGTCTTTTTTAACTTGGGGATATCTATCTCAAATGTAGGTCTCTTTTGATTAAGAATCTTTTCACCTTGCAACTGTTTCTGTGCAGCAGCTGGAAATGATCTTGAGGTGGCTTCTTCTAAACCCATTAGCTTGGCAACTAGATTGGGACCTCTCACCTTTGAAGTGCCTGATGAAAAAGATGAATCAGAAAGCCTATCAGCATGAACCCCAGAAGATTGGCTTGAGCTTGTTGAGGGAATTTCAGACGCTGAGTCCAATACTTCAGAACTTGACGTAAACAGATTTTGCCTAACCAGACTGTCTTTGATCACTTTCTTAAGCTCCTCTCTGCAATTTCTTGAAGAATCATGAGCAGAAAGGGGAGGCCTTTCAAATCCCATGGGGTAACTCAGTTCGCTAAATTGGTTGGTGTATGTTCCATCCATCATCTTCGCATCAGTTCTTCCTCTTTCTGGTTTCTCATTCTGTTTTTTCTGCAAACAGCACTTGTGCTGTGAAGCTTCTTGCAACTTTCGAAGCACAGCTAGAGATTCTTGGAGATCAAGAGCTCCTTCCAACAAATCTTTTGCAATATTTTCAGACCTTACATTATATCTCATGTCCCTAGACCATGAATCAACCATGTTGTTCAACTTTTGAACCCCTCTAGAGACCTCCATAAGCTGCAAGGAAGATGGATCGACAGAGCTTTCTGTGGATCCTTTTGGGACAATTTCTTCTCTGTCTGATTTCTTAGGCAAAGATGCTTCCGATTTCTCAGCCGTCCTCCGGCTCTTCATCTTGTCCTTCATTTTCTGTGATCCAGCCCTGGACTTTCTGATTGCCCCACAGTCCACGACTCCTTTTGGATCATCACATGTCATGAATGACCTGTACATGACTGAGTCTTGAGGGGATATTCTGTGGCAGAAATTTCATCAGAACATTGAGATTCGAGAAGCTAACAAGATGCTGCTAAGAACCAAGACAAAAGCTAATTCTTATAAAATACTCACATAGTCTTGGCCTCTTGATGCTTCAATTTTGTCTATATCAGATAAAAAATAATATACTTGTTCGTCTAACTGAAACCAAATGCATTTAAATAATCAGTATCCATCATCAACTAAAATGCAGACAGATTAAGGCAAAGACAATAGAAGGAAGAATAAGTATAGAATTCTGAAAATAGAGCCTCTGGCATGATTTGAAGTAACTTCAAGGTACATATTTTTAAGTAAAAACACGACCCAGCTCAGCAAGTTCAGAACCTATTTTCTATCCTCTGTTTCATAGTCTGAAACCAAACAAGAAGACAAAACGCAACATTCAATATCAAAACCACTCAAAACGAAGTTGTGATTTCACGCTAACTTACGCCTCGTTTTAGTGGCTCATTCTCAGAACCACCGCTGAAACCCTTTGAGGCCCCAAATGAAAATGCCACAATCAGAACAGAAGCAGAATCCCAACAAGAAACTCATAAGCCATTCAAAAATGCAACCCCACTTGTGAGGACCCGCAAGAGATTTGTCCAGATTCAGACACGGGAATGAGCTCCGAGAAACTCAGATCCACAAGAAAGGAGAAAACCAGTCGGTGCATTGACTTTTTCCTTGGGGTGAAAAATGAGGAAGAAGCGATGAATTACCGAAGGAAGGGAAGGAGAGGCGAGGATGGGTTGGCTTGAAACGAGTTGAAAATTGGGAAATTATGAGACAATGAGATGATAGAGAGATTATGGAGGAGAGAAGCAAGAGGAAGTGGCTCTGGTCGTACACATGGTGCAGAGTAGCACAGAAGCAAAAGCTTTTCAAAAGCAGGAGAGGGAAGGTCAGTCAGTCACAGAGTGGAAAATTTGGCATCACGCACGCAACTTGATTGGAAAACTCCTAATATTCGTCTTATACCAAAAATCGGAATTAGATTAAACCAAAAAAACAAAAAACATACATTTAGTGTATGTTTGATTTTTAATTTATTAATAATTTATTTGATAAAAATTTATTTAATAAAAATTAATTTAATAAAATTCAGTTATTATAATAAAATTTGTGTTTTGATATATTATTTTAAAAATCAGTTTTGTACAATAAAAATTGTTTAATTATGATAATAAAATATACTTTTGAATGTATAATTATCAAAAAAATATTAACTTATGATAATTTATAATTTTTATTATATAAATATAATATATTTAAAATATTTAAAAAATATGATAAATATTTTAAATAACATAACCTTTGATCTATAATGTTAAAAACTTAATCTCTAGTCATTTATACTTTTTTAATTTGTAATTTTAAAAAAATGTGATTAGGTTTTGTAATTTGTATTATACATTAATACTAAAAATTAATAATAATTATTTAATTTATAATGATAAAAATTTGATACCTATTTTTATTATTATTATTATTATTATTATTATTATTATTATTGAAATGATAATTCTATTTTTACTGAATTAACTATTTTTTAAATAAAAGAATAAGAGATTAAATTTAGAACAGCATGTCCATTATCTTTTTAAATTTATTTTTTAAAAGCTTCAATATTTTAAGTTGGCCAAAAATACATTTAACAACATTCAAAAAGGACTTTTTAAATGAAATTTTTAAAAAAGATTGAAAATCAAACAACATCTGACTTTATTTCAGTTTTATTATAAATTTTTGCACTTTTTTTAATATTTTAAATTTTTAAATTTTTATTTTTTTTAGTGTTGTAAAAGTAAAAAAAATATAGAACTTATAGAGTAAAATATAAGGACTTAAATTATATTTTTCAAAAAAATGATAATTAATTAAAATATACCAAATATTTTATATATAATTATGAAAAAGTAATATTTAAATAACAAAACATTAATCTACGAGTGAATGGAACTTTCATGGCGCATGACTATGATGTAGCATAATAGATTTATTAAAACGCAACTGCCATTTTTTATTTTTTTTAATTCAAAACCCTATCATTTCAAGCTTAATAAATAGATATATATAATTCTAAAATCAACTTATTCATCCAAAATTATTAACTAGATTGGTCAAGAGATTAATTTATCAATTTATTTGTCTAACCGACCAATTTGGATTAGATTTTAATACTATAATTATAATAGACATTTATTTATGCCAATTCATGTTGCCAGGTTTTTTTTTATCATTTGTTTCAATTTTAACATCATCTATTTTTCGTAATAAAAAAATTCAATTTGGATCTCTATATTAATATATATATATATATATATGCATGAATTGCAAATATGAAATTTTTTTCATAGGCAAAAAATACTCTTGGTTCCACAACAATTTTTTTATCTATACATAGTATACATTTATATTTATAATATGAAATTAGCATAGTATTAGTATATTATAATTATAATTTGCGTATTTAAATGTATTTTCTCTATTTTAAAATGCTTTTCATTTTCTTTTTTTTTTTTGCACCAGCCTAGTGAATGTTTAAATAACTTAAATTATATGATAAAGTGTAACAATGTTTACTTAAATACCCGTAAAGTTTAAAAATTATTTTAAAAAATCACAAGAACTCTAAAGCAATCAACATTTGATCTGGGAACTGTTGGCCAAAGAAAAAATATTGGGAGAATGATAGAGAGGTTCCAAAATAACTAATTAATTCAAATTAAGTATTAAGTGTCAAATTTTAGAAATTTGTAACTCAATCTTTTAATTTTAAAATTTTATTATAATAAATTTATAACTTGTATTTCAAATTTTGACAGGAAAAATAATTTTTTTATTTTTCAATCACGTTAAAATTTAAAAAATAAGTTACAAATTTATCATACTACAGTTGCAAAATTAAGAGATGAATTTATAAATTTCTAGAATTTGACATTTAAAACCTAACTTAAATTAATTAATCATTTTGGAACCTCCTTGTCATTCTCCCAAAAACATTTGTGGACTAAGGAAATGTTTACAAAACACAGCATTATAAAAACATAATTTTATAGTACATTTAAAAAACATTAACTCCCTAGTTGTGAAAAAAATTAACTTTTATCATAATAAATCACATAGATTATGAAAAATACATCTAGTTGTAATTAGTGAAAAAAGTCGTCCATTATTGAAAAAAATTGTCCAATATTTTATCGGTCAACATTCAACAAAATCGTCCAATGACCAATATTAAGACGTAGAAGATTATTTTACATTCCATATTGTGAGCGGTCCAATTATTGTAATTAATCATAACCCTTTTTTTTTGGGTATCGAGATCATGGGTCCAAAATCTGTTGCTTTTGTTGCGTAGATTACTTGCTTAAACCTTAAATAAAGAGATTGAATTAATTATGCCATAATTAAAGCTATTAAGCAATTTAAAAATGATGCATATTGATGTTTAGCAAGCGAGAACATGTTAATTAATAAAGCTCTTTTTTTAATTAGGCTTTCATGTGGGTTGAAGTGTTCTTTTTCGAACTTTGAGACCCCATGATTTTCATGCTTTTGCTTCTCTGGTGAAGATAAAAAAAAAAAAGGGTCACCTTTTACTTTTTGCTTTCCACATAGTTTTCAGTTTAGATCTCTACTACTTTTAATTCGCATTGAGCTCTGTTTGTAAGTACTGCTCTCCCAACGGAATCACCAAATTAATAAAAATTAGTTATTTAATTAAAAGTATAATAATATTTTAATTTTATTTTTAATTATTGCACATAAAAAAATAAATTTCTTTCTTCACAGTAAATTAATAAAAATATTTATCTTTTTCTCTATTTAATTTAATAAAGATATAATGATTCATTTATTAAAAAATATGCTAATAACTTTTTATATTTGGAAATAAAAAAGGTTCTAAAAGACTTCTTATATTTAGGAACGGAGAGAATACATTGTTATATTACTCTCTTCATTCTTAATTTGTAAAATACTTTTAAAAGAGATTTAATATCATAAATATAAAATACTTTGAAAAAAATAAGGTTTCATTAATAATAATTTTTGAATATTATCTCTTTCGTTATATTATCTCTCTCTCTTTTTCTAGTTTTTTTATAAATGAAATATTAAATAAAAAGCCTTTTCAAAAATTTATATTTTTATTTTGTAAAAATAAAATTATAAAATATATTAATAAATTTTATTGATATGTATAATTTTATTTAAAAATATATTATAAATTAAGATGAAATAAGTACTAATCAACTACCATAAAGCCAAACCATCCCTAATCTTTATACATTATTATTATTATTACTCCCTTGAAATAATTATATTTACAACAAAATAATTAAAGTTTAAAACACTGCATGACAGTTAAAGAGATTATTAATAAAAATAAATGAGGTTTCATTGTAATCTAAGTGAAATGACTTATAACATATATGAATATACTCCCTTGTTATGAGATGTTTCTGACATTTTCGTGTATCTTAATGAAATGTTACATTAAAATCATGTAAATATAATATTGTATAACAGCTTATATTATGGATGAAGAAAATCTTTTACATATTTTTCCCTAAAATACCCATCATTAAATAAAGTATGTGATAAACTTGGATTCATGAGAAGAAATGTCAATTATATTTTTTTATAACAAAAGTTTAGGTAAGTTAGATCAAAACATATTTGCAAATTCAAAGAACATTAGTAGAAATATTTTTAGATTGTTCACTGATAAGGTTTTTATGGTTCACATTAACTGTAGGTTTTGATCCCACAATCTTATGAATTATGAATGAAATCCTTATTTACTGAAGTAACATTTATTAATTGAAATGTCAACTATTAATTGATGAGAATTTTGAGAAAAATAATGTTTTATTAAAAATTTATTTAGCATAACTAATTTTATTGACTAGTCTGACATAGGTATCCGTATTTTTTTTGTTAGAATATCATTTAATTTTTATTAAATATACTTATTTTAATATTATCTTTTCTCTTTCTCTATTTAATTTCCATTCCTCACTTTTTTCAATATATTTTTTATAAAATATAAAGTTGTGAAATTAAAATGTGAAATTTTTCTGAAAAATATCTTCTAATTTGAATAAGATGGAGTATTATTTTGTATTCTCTCCATCTTAAATTATAATCCTAAATTATAAGACAAAATTGAGGTATATTGTTGTCCCAAAATATAAGAATATTTAAGAAAATAAAGTTTCTTTAATATTACATTTCCAGCATTAAGTAAAAAGAAAATTTAAATGATATTATAATATAATGATTGAGTATATAAGAATATTTTAAAAAGCTTATAATTTTATTTTTTTAAAAAATAAATTATAAAATATTATTATTATATTTTATTGATAGATGTAATTTTTTTAAATTTTTTATTTTATTGGATTATTTAACACTCGTATACTGTTGGTAAAAAAAAAAAAAACAGTAGAGTAATATCTAATTATGAAGCGGTAGCGTTTCCCCGGCCAAGAAAAAACGAAGAAGTGGTAACATTTAGCAAAACCTGCCACATGTCAACTATAAGCTTCCCTCATTCCCCGGGCAATCTGCCGGCCAGTGTACCCCGTCAACTTGTCAACTTAATTTGAATAAATTTTAATTTCCATTACATAATTAATTTTATTGTCCTTTTCAATAAATAATTTTTTTTAAGATTACATTTACAGTTTACTAAAGGCTGTGGCTCATAGCTCATAACATTTTTGCTGAAAGAGCCGAAAGTACCATCCTACTGTTATTTGTTACCACTTGTGTCACTATCTACAATAAATTCAAAGCATACACTTAATGTCCAAAAATAATATATATATGTATATATATATAGAATATATTTAACATAAGCGG